GAAATTCAAAGGCTTTTCTTCAAGGTCATCTTCTAGGACAGCACACTGCCCCGCCCGTGCCTCTTTCTATGGTTGATTTCCTCACCTGTATCTTGAGTGCATATTTTGTCTCTGAAACAGGTGAGCACTCAGGATCTTTGCTGCATGTTCCTATACCTAAAGCCTTTTAAGCCAACTGTCCTTGCTCCAAGACCCTTCTTCTGAGTATGTCTCAGAACAGTTGAGTTATTGTTCCACCTGACTACCTATATAGAGCCTTTTCACCCAACTGCCTTTGCTCCAAGATCGTCGTTCTTCCACAACTTCTGTGTCTGATTTCCGCAACTGTATGTCCGCCTCTTTGGTTGGTTTCTATTTTGTTCAGAAACAGTTCGGCATCCATTTCTCCTCTCCATGTTGGTATGCCTTTTGTCTCCGAGATTGTCCTTCAACATCTGTGGCTGATTTCCTGACACGTTCTCCAGTATCTCGGGTGTGTGGGGCTCCTGGGATGTCCTTCTGTGGGCCGATACGAATCGAATCATCCTTCGGCTACTTTCGACCGCTGGCCAAAGGGTGACCAGCTTCCTCCATTAATTCAGGGAACCTTGTCTGAACAGGTGTGTTGTGTGGTCTTTCCAGGACAGCTGGACAGCTGGAAAAATGTCAGAACAGCTTTCATGCAAACTGATCACCAGAAGTGCGAAGTGGGAGCGATCACATCGAACACACACAGCACGAGAACATCTGACGCTTGCTTCTTCGCTTCGCCGCTTCGCCCAGCCTTTTTGTTCTGCTGCTTGGTGAAGGCACAGCCCCAGTTGAAAGAAAGGCCATCGCAGGGTCGTGGACTCAAAGGCACCATGAAAATCACCCGGCGTTGAAGCCTTCCACAGTGCACTTGATTCCAACACAAATATCACAGAAAAAACAGTTTATAATACTTTATATAGCAGTTTGAGGTTCCTCTTGTCGCTTTGTTTATTCTTTTTCTTCTGGCCTCCACTGCATCGTTTTCAGATCTTTTGGCCCAATCATGCCGCAGTGCATACCATGAAGCCATACAACAAAATACCTCAAACATGCCAATCGACAACAACTCTTGTAAGCCAGCCTAAGAGCAATGGAAATAGCCAAATGCCTGATATTGAATGATATTGACTATGGATCACTGATGCAGGTTGATGTATGGACGTCGATGTTCAACTTGCCGAGATACGGATTGGCATCGTCTTCTCGCAAGCCTTCATTGGACTCGTAGAGCTTGAATTTGGACTCGCCAAAACCTCGGGCCCGTCTGGGTGGCTAATGACCCATTCTCAGATGCCCTGGTGCCATTTGCCTCCAAGCAGCCCTCGCCTCTGATCTCGTCTTCCCACAACTCTCGAATCATGTGGGATGAAAGGATGACTTGGGGCAGATACTGGTGCTCAATGCTCCACCAAAAGGCCCAACCTGCCACTTCGACTTACTGAACTAGCCGTAACTAGCCTTGAGAGCTAAACCATGCAATTGATATTGGAACCCCTCTGCAAAAGGTCTGAATGTGGTAGAATGTAGCTGTTGGCTGCTCGCTGAAGTGGTCACACGCCAGCCGGATTGAGCCAAACGTGCTGTTTTGACCGAAGCTGGGCTCCGCTGTTTTGACCCGACATTTGCCACTGGGTGTGGCCCCACACATGCCACTTGTAACTCAAGCTTGATGAAACATGTCCAAGTCCTGATCTGAGAATACTCAGGCAGGCCAGCAGCTGTTTCTGAGGCTACCACCCTCACCCGCATCCCCTTTCTTGCCTCCTGAATGCAAGCAACAGGTGGGACCGAAAGCCAGGGAAGAGCGAGGTGCGCGGAGTTTTTCAGCGAAACCAGCAGCGTTTCACAACTGGACAGATCAACTTCAGGACTGTTTGACACATGAAACTTGTGCAATCCCCGGCCTTTGCCTTTGCCCCAGCCCCATGAATTCCAGCCCTGCAGAATTAGGCACGCATATTTTGCTGGGGAGAGGCTGTGTTGTCCTACTTCTTTCTGTGCTAAATCCAATAATCCACACAAGAATGCAGCGGCCCCTGCCATGCCATAGCCACCATAGCCGCCATAGCCACCATAACCGCCATAGCCGCCATAGCCGTAGTCGCAGTAGCCATACCCCCCAAAGTCACCGAATCCGAAGCCTCCCAGAAAATCTGATGGCGACTCAGACCACAAGTGCCATCCGGATCGGATGAGACACGACACGACCCACCATAAATCACCACCGTCTTCGCCTCCGCCTCCCTTCGGCTTTCCTGCGTAAGTGAACGCTACAAAAAAACCTGCACAAAGTGTTCGGCACAACATGAAAGCGGAAATCAAGTCTAATTGGTGAAGAAAGAGAACCACTGACCACTGCATAGGCTTTCTATGGCTTTCTTTAGAATTGAAACTCTCTTTGACGCGAGACATCCGAGGTCTTTGGTCCTTTACCTTTGGACTTCCCTTTTGGCTTCGCGGCCTCCAACTTGCAAGCTGAGAGCTGTTGAAAGCTCTCCATATTATATATATTGTTTTTTCTCGCTCTGGGAAAAACATACACACACTTTTCTCAGCCTCTGCGGCTAACTCCGGATCCTCTTGGATATCTTTGTAAGCCTCGGAGACTGGAGCACCGAGCTTTGTCAACTTCGAAAAGCTTCCCGAGGAAACCATCAAAAGGCAGTTTGGACAAGTCGTCTTTGGATGTGTTGGATTTCTGCCCATCCAAGTCATCTCTGGATTTCTAACAGTCTCTAGACCCTAGAGTCTGCTGTCAAAGACGGAGAATTCACCGTCTTCATTCATGGAGTCCTTCACTTTAGCTTTACAACTTGTGCAATGTGTTCCTGGACACTTCCTCGACGACATGTTTGTTGAGGCCTCCTCTGCTGCACTCTGCTCAGCCTTTTGTTTTGTCCTTGACTTCAGGCAGCTGTGTTTTTTGGCATCCGATCACATCACTCACTTGCTATCTGAACTTTTCTGAATATCCGAATGAACTTGAGGTCATAGACCTGTCAAACTGGTACACACCTGAGCTTGTCCACCACATCTGTGACTGTGGCCCGAGCGAGCAAAGGTGACCCGCCCACTCCTCAGATGACAGATCACAATGTCAGTACAGTTTTCAGAGTTCTGTGAGAAAAGATCAGCACGGCCATCGCTCTTTGGTTGGAGGCCATCACTCTTGGGTTGGAGGCCATCGCTCTTAGGTTGGAGGCCATCACTCTTAGGTTGGAGGCCATCACTCTTAGGTTGGAGTCCATCACTCTTAGGTTGGAGGCCATCACTCTTAGGTTGGAGGCCATCACTCTTAGGTTGGAGGCCATGGCTCTTAGGTTGGGGGCCATTACTCTTAGGTTGGGGGCCATCACTCTTAGGTTGGAGGCCATCACTCTTAGGTTGGAGGCCATCACTCTTAGGATGGAGGCCATCACTCTTAGGTTGGAGGCCATCGCTCTTAGGTTGGAGGCCATCGCTCTTAGGTTGGAGGCCATCGCTCTTATGTTGGAGGCCATCGCTCTTAGGTTGGAGACCATCGCTCTTAGGGGTTGGAGGCCATCGCTCTTAGGTTGGAGGCCCTCACCCTTGGTTGGAGACCATCGCTCTTAGGTTGGAGGCCATCGCTCTTAGGTTGGAGGCCATCACTCTTAGGTTGGAGGCCATCGCTCTCAGGTTGGAGGCTATCGCTTCTAGGTTGGAGGCCATCGCTTCTAGGTTGGAGGCCATCCCGATGTATTAGGTTGGAGGCCGTCGCTAGTACATTGGAGGTGAGCACTTTCTGTTGGAATCACTAGTAGGTTGGTTAGGCTGGAGGCCATCGCTCTTAGGTTGGAGGCCATTGCTACTTGAATAAAATAAAGTCATCACGGTGTACGGCGGTTTTTCTCCGTCTCGGGGGGGTCGTTGTCCGAGCTCCACGCGCGCTCGCCCCAATCTCCTGGGAGGGCGGTGAGCCTGGATGGTCTTCGAACGAGTCGAATGACTCCGACGATGCGCCACGCCACGGATAGGACGCTATTAGGTTGGAGGCCATCGCTACTAGTAACAAAGGGCGTCGCTACTAGTAGCAAGGACGCTACTAGTAGCTCCTGGCCTTACTACTAGGAGCAAGAAGCTACTAGTAACAAAGGGCGTCGCTACTATTAGCAAGGACGCTACTAGGGCCTCCTGGCCTTACTACTAGTAACAAGAAGCTACTAGTAACAAAGCATCGCTACTATTAGCAAGGACGCTACTAGGGGCTCCTGGCCGTACTACTAAGCTACAAAGGGCATCGCTACTATTAGCAAGGACGCTGCTAGGGGCTCCTGGCCTTACTACTAGTAACAAGAAGCTACTAGTAACAAAGGGCATCGCTACTATTAGCAAGGACGCTACTAGGGGCTCATTACTAATAGTAACAAGTATCAAGAAGCTACTAGTAACAAAGGGCATCGCTACTATTAGCAAGGACGCTACTAGGGGCTCCTGGCCTCACTACTAGTAACAAGAAGCTACTAGTAACAAAGGGACGCACGTGAAACGCCACGTCAAGCGGTCACGGCCAACTGCAGCGTGGCTCACAGCACGACACGGTGGCGCCGAAGGTATCCGAAGGCCTCACCGTTGCTTGGTACTGCTGTCCCACCTCGAGCTGAATCGCTTCACAGAAAAAAAAGAAAACGTATTAAGAAAAGGAAAACAAATATCCGCCGACCCCTGCCTAGCTGACGCCTAGGCGGGGCGGCGCCGGGGACACCGCAGGGTGAAACAGTTGCCCAGGCCAAGCAGATCCAGAGCGTTTCGCCGTGGCGCCGCTGCCTCATAACGTTGCCTGGCACGTTGCCTTCGGGACCCAGGCCAGGCCGTCGCCTAGCCTAGCCGCAGGCCTAGCCGCAGCCAGCCAAAATGCCTAACGTCGCCTGGCCTGGCCCAGTTGCCTGGCAGCTGAGTCAGAGATGTGCGCAGAAGGCAAAATGCAACCGACCTCCCAGACAAGGCAGCATGGCCACTC